CAAAATGCTGAGTTCTATTATCTACTGCACCACACGTACACACACACTGCATCAATGGCCTCAATTCATAACAGCAATCACAATGATGATACATAAAATCTATAGAAAAAGCATGCATTACTCACTGGGTTTTATTCTTTAGCTTCTTCAGCATGTAATTCTTTACGCTTTACAATGTAGTAGGTAGGAAATGAAACATTTTCCCTTTACTCCACTGATGCCGCTGTTTGAATAACATTAGATACCAAGGACAATAGGCAGGATCAGCTCGAACATTAAGAGCAAATATTTAATGGAAGACTGGTTACCCCCGTCTCTCTCTTTCACATCTCTGCCTCATGCATCCAGGCACGGGTGGTACTGGCTCCCTTGAGAGGCTGTAGCTAGCAGCTGAGGCACAAACTAAAACATGGCATGGATGTCAAGGAGCTGATGTCACAAAAACAAGTATTTCTCTGATAAAACTGGCAATTCCATGAGGGAAGTCCTACAAATCGATAGAAATAGTTCAGCTGAACATGCTTTGTTATACAATGCTCTACAGCACCAAGTGTGATAAATCAGACCAAGATCTGTCAGTGTAAATAAACTGAGACTACAATAACTAAGTTATAAAACTGCCAATCAGATACCACGCTTTAGTAACAGGGTATCAGCAAGGCTATCACTTCTGAGCACAGAAGAGGAATACACACCTAAACATTTTAGAAACAACCTTGTTTAATATCAATTCTAAAAGAAAAGCTAATCTACTAAAAGAGTAAAAATATTTGTAAATACAAAAGATCAGCCGAAAAGTCTGCCATTTTTATCAGGAAACACTGTGATAAATTATTCAAGGCTCCAATCCAGTAGATGCTAGAAACGCCTAAGAGAGGTCACATTCAGTATCTGGGAAGAGATGCAAGGTGTTTTAGAAATCCTGCCACCTCACCCACATAGCAGCACTGCCATTCCAGGCTGCGGGGATGGGTTAACAGTCTTGCTAAAGGTAAACGGTACTGCTTCTACAACAGCAGCCGTACATTTATACAGGGAGCTGGGTCTGGCACAAACAAAAAAAAAAGCACAAAAATTCAGGAGCAAAAGGAATACAGAGACAATGCAAGTTCAGATGCTGGAAACTGTGCAAGTTCTATCTTGCAGGCAAGATCGCATCAAAATAAGAAGGTAGGTTCTTCAAGCACAGAAAGAACTTTTCTTAAGGCATACAAATAGAACTGAAATATTAGTCACATGGTTTATTCCATTAATGGATTACATGCATTTATTTCAAGCTTTGCTGGCTGGTACAATCTCAAAACCATATCAATTTCACAAAGGTCCAGGACAGTTAGCAACTATATTATTAGATTTCAACATAAATGCAAAACATTCAGTATGTATTTCTGCACTCTTCTTCCAAAGCACTATTGTTCTGAAGGAACTGGAAGGAAAAACTTACAATTCTACAGAAATTCACCACAAAATATTTGCAATTCAGAAGATCACATACTATCAGAAATAGTCACTCCATGACCTAATACAACCAAGTCTGAGCAACATATTGCAAATGAAATTATTTAGCAATTCAAAAGCCGTGTTTAAAAATTCCACTTCAAACTGTCCGCAGTTCTGTAACAAACTAGAAATCCACACTTCGAGACTGCTAATTTAAGTAGAAGCCCATTTTGGACACAGCAACTAGTTAACTTTTTGTCTCCGGAAATAACTTGAGGCAAATTCATAAGCTCCTTTATAGTGCTAACATGAGGCTCTAGAAAACTGCATATGTAACATTCTTATTTTTTAAAAAGATTTCCAACGAACATAACAAAAGAATTTGAAATATATCAACTATTTTCTGAATAAAGGACAATATTTTAATGCTGTCAAAATAAATAGTCCTTTAAATAAACTCTATCACTAATATCAATAATATTTCCATATAGTCTAGAGTGCAACGCAGGTGTTTGTTGTATGCCTTAAGCTAACAAATAATAATGCTGAATGCATTCGTTCATGCTAAATTAGCAGCCATAAAATTTAATGTCTGTTGTAAAACAATTTGAAAATAGTAACAAATAGGCCACAATACCAGATTTCCATGCAGGCCCCATGGATGCAAAGAGTCAATACGCACTGAATTAATTCATTACGTTATGAGAAACTTGATGACAAATCACTCATTGAGCACATCCTACTAAATAGGTTTTTTAAACAATCAAAGTATGATTCAACATGACCTGTAAAACCATGGAGGGAAAAATACCCTACAGACGCAATAACCAGGTCATCTGAGCCACACTAATCTATGTGCTTCTATAGTTCATCTCATTGCTTAAGATAACTAAAACATTCAGCAAATTAACACAAAAAAACTTTTGTACTAAAATACCTACACTTTTAATGAGATCATTAAATTGCAGTGAACTTCATTATGCTACATCATTTGCACAGATACCCCTTTAAGCAACAGCCTTCTCTCCTCCAGTTAGCTTGCTTTTCTTGACAGTATTCCACATTAGTTTGCTTTGTGTTTTCACAAATAAGGGCAAATAATTCTACTTGGGACTTGCACCAGTCTAAGTTGGTACAACGTATTTCCTCCCTTCCTCTTTAAACAGCTACGACAACAGAAGCAGAGCTAGAGTCAGCTAGTTCTTTCAGTTCTTATACTGGGAAAGCAGAGCGACATGGATGCCCATACGAGCTCACTCCCTACAATTTTCATCCAACAAGTTAGAAGCAACTTAGAAAAAGAATGCAAAATAGCTTTCAGCATGTTGTGAGCCCCAATACTACAGTGATGCCAGACTTGGTTGTTCCATTCTTAGTTGCAGAATTAAAGGGTGAGGCACCCCAAATTTAGAAATTTAAGTAAAATCAACCTTTCTGTCTTCACTGAAAGACAGCTGCTTCACAGAACATGGTCTGGAGACTTATAGTGGAGTATTAACACTTATGTTTACTTCTGGCATAAAAATCTGCCCTGGTAGAGTATTACAAGCATTCTCAGGCTAGCTAATCCCTAAAGTCGTCACTTTCGCTTTTACTGCAATTCTCACAAAAGTCAAAGGCACATAAGACACCAAACTACCCAAAAGTCCTAAAACATCATTCCCAAAACAAAGATTTGGGAAAAGTAGCAAGATATAGGGAAAAACCAAAACTTTTACTGTTGCTAACAATATTTTCTGTAGATACAGAGGTTAGACTTTAGCATGTCAATGCAAACCTGACACCTTTCCAGGGAAGAGATTCAGTTCAGAGCATAACATCCATAACTCAGGTCCCAAAATAAAGCAGTGTTCCTTGTACACAATTCAGATCAACATCACATTTAAACCTACAGAACTAAGAACACTCTTTGCAGAACGACCATGAAACTTGAGCCTGAAAATATTTTCCCATAGATATTTTCAACCTGTTAAGCTAAACTGGAAAGTGAGAGCATAGTAAAACCTATACATTTTCAACATACAGTAAAATATAACCACACAGTCCTCACTTCAATTTTAACTCACAGGCAAACAAGAATTGAAATTAAGTCTTATTTGCTTGCACATGCAGTAGAAGCACATTATGTGATATAGCAAGATGGTCTGATTGCCCATCTCCTTGTTGACACTCGAGCAAAATTGGTAAGAAACCCACTAAGCTATTCTCATAGATAAAGGAAAGTACAGAAAACATTATTAAACAAGGCATGAAAAAAACTCAGGATATATGGAAAATAGTACATTGGAAACAGCTACACAAATGCTTGCTTGGCTCACCCTAAAAAAAGGGAAGACCACACAGACATCATTTTCCAGAAGAAAAAAAAAAAAGTGTCTCAAAGAAAATAATTTATTTAACACTTCTAATCAGCATAGGAAACAGTCTTCATTCATCATTTTTTTCTAGAAGAAAAAAAAGTGTCTCAAAGAAAATAATTTAACACTTCTAATCAGCATAGGAAACAGTCTTCATTTTCTCTAATTGGCTGAACAATGACAGCAGATAGTGTTGCACATTTACTCCTTTTTTTCTTTCTATAAAACAACTTTAACAACATGGAAACTTGTCTGCTTTTCACATCTAACTGCTAACCTACTGTAGTTCCTATGTAAAAAATATTATTTAAACTGCAATATTTTGGTATTTATTCCATCTCACTCCATCTTCTAGATTTCAGTAAAAGTTCTCAATAGATCAATTATTAGTATATTAGTATTATTTCTCTGGTTAAAAATATTACTCACAACTATTGACCACTGCACTACACTAGCCAGCCTGTCAGCGTAGATCCTAGGCAACTAAGTAGTGTTCTCCTAGTATGCATTACTTGCTTCTATCAGCAATTAATTTTATCTGCTCTTTTATCTTCCAAAGAGAAGAGCAAAGGTCCTTGAATTCTTCAGTTCACCTTTACTCCTACTACTGTGACTAGTCAAGCATCATCTAGTAACAGTCACCCAATTACTCACATTCAAAGATATGAACTAATACACTGATGACATCCCTCCATAATGAAAAGTGACTATACAGCTATTTAATCCTTTTATCCCTGTGCAGTTTAAGTTATTGAAATACAGGTAAACCATATCAATCATGTATCCTTCCTCTGGAGGTTTATCTACCTTTCACAGGATTTTTTTTAGGGACTAATAACCTTTTTATAAAAAAAGACCGTATCTCCCTCATCTTCAGCAAATCACTTCCTTTCCTTGCAAGTTAAAAACCTAAAAGAACCACAAAAGCAAAGGATCACATTTAAATATGCATCTAAAATTCTGATGGCTACTAATAGATCAGCTACTGGAAACCAGTGTTAATCCTCAGAAACATTAAAACAGTACTACAATGTTGGTTTATGTAATTTCTCTGTTGATGAAGTTTCAAACACTTTGCATTCTATTAAGAAACCACAAAACACATATACATGAATGTAACACTAGATTACGAAAATCTTTCAATATATTTCTTTTGCATGTGACTGAAAAAATTAAGCTAACACTTGATATTTTAGTACTCACTGTCTTCTCCTGGACAAGGCATGCCGGGTTTCTCTGGAATACTTGGGAAAACTAAAACAAAAACATTAGATTTTTAAGTGAAAAGATTCTCAGTAGTACTTTTTCCTTGATTCTTGAATACATTTACACAAAGACAGTTTCTGGAAGCCTTTAAATAATTCTGAGAAATGACATAATCAAAATTTGGTTCCATACTGGCAAGATCTTATACTTGACTACAGCACTAACAAATCTGTGCAATTTAGAATGTGAAGCCCCCTCAAAGCCTACTGTATAGTTTCAGCTTTGGGCTGCACACTCAAAAGAACACTTCCTTCTTACATCAAACTACACGGCACCAGCTACATAAAGAAGAATGTTATTTGATGGGCAAAAGAGTTGTTCCAATCTCATATTTAAGAATCTGTTAGGATTATCAACAAATGCATACGGGTTCTTGAACTGGTAATACTTGCCATGAATAATCAGTCCTTCATCTCTGTTCTGACAATACAAACGGAAGGCTTCTTCCAGTTCCATCTGAGATGAGATGGTACATGGGTCACCTAACAAAAAAGCAATACATAAGCAAATTTATGACTGAAGAATTAAGTGGAGAATTTCAGTTAGTCAGTAAGAAATGTACCAGCCTCCAGGACTGCTTTTCTTTCAGTCATTTGATATTAAGCTGGCATTTTCACCAAAGCCAAAATACATCAACACGACGTTTTTTTCCTTCTAATTTTATCAAAACTGAGTAGATAGAAATATACTATGTTGGTTTGCAAGGGGACAACAAAATACAAAAGTGAATAAGTATGCTTAAAGATCTATAACACACAGAAGGAAAAAAGCAAGACCACTTCCTAGTAACCTGAAAAATTAAGTTTAATTAAAAATTAATTTACCCTTTGTTAAAAGGCCCATTATCTTAATACCTTAACTTCATTGACTGCAGAACCATGTTATAACTTAAAAGTTATGAAGGTACGCATAGATTCTAGTTGAGTCTCTCTTGCTAGACTGACAAAAAAGCAATCTATGATTTAAAAAAGTAAAAAATCAGATATACAAATAGAAGTTACGGGTGGGATACAAATATACCAACACTGACTTAGAGATACAATTAATGTAAAATTAATTTCTCTAAGTCTCTAAAGTTTTCAAGGTTTGCTTGTATGTTTTGAGGAAAATAGTTTCACACTTTTTTCTTTTAACTTAGATTTATAAGCAGCAGAAAAGTAAATACAAGGAAAAAAAATAATCAGGAACCCTGCCTCTCCACAATCTTCTCTCTTTCAGAAAAAGATATATCAAGCCTTAGTTTCTATGACTTTGTCTTTTGTACCCACATTCTTTAGTAGCAGATTCAACAAACAGATCTTTTAAAAGTTCCCAAAGAGGCAACATGCCAGCTTCAATTTAAAGCATATTCTCAAGAACCTAACTACTAAAATAGACAAAACAGAAAACCCCACACACCCCAAACTACAAGATATCGTTCAGGCTGAAATTCACAGGGAAAAGAATAAAATAAATGGAGACATGAGCATTACTGCACACTAAAGCCTGGGCTCAAGTGCCATGCCTTATCCACACCTTATTACCATTTCTCTCTGACATATACCATTAGCTTTATATTAATAAAATATGAAAAAAAAATGAAAGTATCCAGTCAGGTAAGAACACCCCAAAAACATTATTAACTAGTAATAATTGGAAGACTAAAAACTACCTGTGGTATAGACATTAGCCTTTAAGCTATTTAAAGCTTCCATTTCTCTGAAGCTCTGAAGGAGAGACAGCCCATAGATGGCTCTTCTCAGCAAACAGAACAGGTTCTAATATGATTTGGAAGTAACGATATGACACATTGGTGACGTTCCATAAAAACCCCACTCAATTAATTTGTTGATGCCAGAGAAACAAAGCACTGGAAAAGCTTCTTGGGAGAACTGGAAGTTAAGCCAAAACACACGTACTACTGAGACCTGTATTTCAGGAGATGACCTTTCCAAGGTACAAATCCTTATCAGTTTAAAGTGAGGACATTTTTATTTAATGTTAAACATATGAATAGGAAGACAATAGAGGAATACCTCTCTGGTAGGCAGAAATACCGTTTCAACAGCCCATAACATCTAGATCAGTGGTCTCCAAACTTTTGACAGCACACCCCATCGTTAAAGTTTCTTGAGTACAAACCATCAATATGTATATTTATAAATTATGTATGTTATAAAAACATACACAAAAAAATTTAAAAGGATGCAATAAATATTTTTTAAATGAAAATATTTTAATGGCACAAAAACCTCAAAATATTAAAAATTAAAAAGATTTTTAATGAGGGCTACGTGATTAAACATATTTCATGATTTTGAAAATCTTGGTTTAACATCTCACGATACATTGCTTCAAAGGTCTGGTTCTAAGCTCAGTTTATTTCAATACTTGGTTTTAACAGTGTCATAGCTAAGAAAAGATACCTCAAAGATACGTAGATCCAAATGAAAGAAGTGCAACGTTGGCTACACTTACGAAATCATAATACTCACTCTTCAATCCCAGCCACCATTTATGCAAAGGTTTTGCTGGCATTCAGCTAGTAAATTTTCATCTTCCCTGATGTCAATCAGCTGTTCTTGCAAACTAATCTGAAAGCATTGCATTTTTTAACTAATAAGTTCAAAACCCACTGAAACTGTTTGGAAGACTTTTAACAGGTTAGAAAATTCCATTTCCAAGTTTAAGTGTACTGATGGAACAACAGAACTATCTCCAATAGTCACTTTCAAAATGCTGTCTCGATATAGCAAAGCTCCTTTTGAAAAAGCAGTTACTTTCTCAGTCATTGGGATTAAGCAGGTTTTTTTTTGAAAAATAAGTGCTAGGTAGCATACTACTGACAGTCACTTGTCATCACAGGTAACGTCCACATATTTGGAACATTTATCTTTTTTGCGAAAGAAAAATGCATAACTCATCTTTAATGACTCTTTTAAGCACTTTGCTGCAAGATAACCAGCTAACCTCTGCGAGGTACAAAAGTTTCATGGTCACTGCCCAGCTTATTACTAAGTATTGTAAACATTGTGCTATCTAAAGTTCTTGGGTTTATAAAATTAATCACATTGATGACATCCTGTAGTACTCCGTGCGCTTCCGGCTCCAACTTCTCTGCTGCAATAGCTTGTCTACGAACGATGCAGTGGATGAACTTCACATGCGGTGCGCTTCCTGCAACCTTACCCCAGAATCCTCTTTTTTTATTCCAGTCAAATCAGTCTTTCCATCAGTGGATACTTAGACAGTTTTTCCATAACACATTGTTTTTATTAAAGTCATTTACTGCTGAGACTGTATCTTTCCAGTACATCTTTCTTTCCTTCAGTGACTCACAAAAAACTACATCTTCACATATCCCATTACTGAAACAGAATCCAGCAAACACCCTAAGCTGAGACATGTTAGAAACATCTGTACTTTCATCCAACCACACAGTAAGCTTCCTACACTGCATAATTTGTTTTAATTCTTGTTCCTTCAAACCTTCAGCAATATCTTCTATGCATCTCCCAACAGCATCTTCTGACAGAGGAATGCATTTCAGTTTGTTCCCATCTTGTTTTCTGTATATTATTCCAGCCATTTCTACCATGACAGGAAGAACAAGTGTTTCCCCAACGGTATGTGGCTTTTTGTCTTCTGCTATTAAGTAAGAAGACTCAAAACTAGCTTCTAAAAATGTAATGAAGTTTAGTGAAGTTTTGTAAAGCATCAAATTGAGTATCACAAAACTTAAAAACGAAATGTCCAGAACAAGGCAAACATCTACTCTTTTTTTTTTCCTCTGATGTTTTAAATGTCTTGCTAATCATGATGGCTTCATACCATCATTATCTATTATCTCAAAACACAATACAGTTAGGGTGAGGTTCATCCTTTAAAGTAGTGAATGTAAATATGTATTTCAAATACTTCTGATAATTTTTGAATCTTTTTGACTTAGTTAAAACTAGGTAATTAATCCATAAATCCACTTAACCAGACACACGTAAACTGCAGTACATCACAATACATTGAAAGCAAGCAAATGAGCAAGGGTGTCACTCTCAACCCTTGCAACTTTGTGGAACACCCACTCTTCCCACAGCACACCTTGCCCACCATATGTGACGTGACCATAAGATACATGGGCCACGTGATGACACCGGTGTCAATCCACACATTAAATCAAGTAAAGCTTGATTATTTTCTTAAAAATATGTTTTTTTTAAAAAAAAAGCACCCCAGGGGGCATCTATCCCTCTTTGAAGGCCACTGCTCTGGATGATCTATAAATATTGCAATAATGCAACATGAAAGACATAAGCATTATTTGTACTGCAAAGCAACAATCCATATTCCTCGTATGTTTATGGGGTTTTATTACCAGTTATTCATAGTTCAAACATTTTAGATCTTGCCAAAACCAGAGAAACATTAAAAAAAGCCCAACAGAAAATTCATTTTCTTCAGCTCTTTGGTAGGTTTTTTTTATTCATTAATCCATCAGCAATTGTTTGCTTTAAGTTAGTTCAAAGAGAACATTTGTTTGTGCAGTCAGTCAAATGAACTTAAATTACATGTGGCAGTAAGTGGAAACATTCGCTCATATGCAGAAGTAGCATAACTCATAAAACTTGTGAGGATTGAAGGCAGCCGGAACAGCAGATTGGTTGAAACTTAACAACTTAGAATCAGGAATTAAAAAAAAAGGTTGTACAGGTATGTATTTAACCAAGACAAGAAGAAAAATACTTATTAGAACTGCAATTAAAAAAAAAAACCAACTGTTGTTTTAATTTAAGTAAACCCCAAAAAGCCAATGCAACAGATATCCAAACCAAGAAATAGTTAACAGGAATCACATCTTAAAACCCTCCAACTCAAAACTCATGAGGTTTTGTTGTTTCCTACAGTTATCTTCCTTTTATTCACAGTCACACAGTTCAAATAGCTAAGCACATGAAATGTAATTACTCTCCATGCACTTCTGATAGGTTACTTTTTATTAGACTGCCATGAAACTGAGGGTTAGGAAACTGAAGTTAGTACAGTTGCCTCTGTCTTTCTTGGTAATCAGAAGAGAAAGAGTAAACTTCAAAAGTAATTGATACTACTTCTTGGTATCTTAAGAGGACTGAATCTTCTTTGACTACAGGCTACCTCCTTGCTCAATCACTATTTTGAAATTTCATTCACCCACCAAATGATGCTACCCAGCAAAGACAGCGGTATAGGCTATTATTAAAAAAACAAAACACAATTACAAATGTTAGCCAAACCAATTTAGTATTTTTTCATCTTTCTCCATTTAGATCTATGAGTTCTGCTGCAGATCACTGCTTTGGCAAGGTGCAACAGGAAAATAAGTGACCATCTGTGCACTTGTATAATTGCATGGTAGCTGTTCTCAACCTACAAGGTCAAGAGTTCTGCCCATCATGCAATACAGATGTGCTACACCCCTGTTAAATCATAAGCAGACACGTACATTGCCAAAGGAAGCAAAATAAATAGCACTGCAATTCTACAGGTAAATTAATAAACTTCATATTGAACAAACATTCAAGAGATAAATCACAGTTCAGAAAATGCAAATGCAGGTGACAGGGTTAAAAACATCAAAAAGTGATCTCACCAAGAATTTGAAATTAAGAATTTTGAGGGGTACAGCATTAGGCCTACAGAAGTCTGAAATTAAAACAAACTTTGCATTCAGCATAGAAGTATGGAATAGTAAAATACTAAAGTTCTACAGAGCCTTCACTTCTGTAGAAGTGAATTCAAGTGCTGCTGCAATCAACCTTGAAGTTTTGAGGCTCATTTCTCCAAGCTCCCCGCTTTATAAGGCAGGTTATGTACCCTGCTATTTAGAAACGAAAAGTAACTCAATATGAAACTTGTTTATACAAGTTTCCTCAATTCCCCTTCTTTGTACCACAATGAACAATAAACCCAAGAATGCCTAGGTAGTATTTCAGTGCAATACCTTCATCATCAATCCACTTGAGGGTAATTGGCTGTTCCTGTTGTAAATTACACATCTCATGCACTTCATCACACAGCTCATCATAGCTCATTGATGCATCCAAGTTTGTTATCAGGATGTCCCTGCATAAGATGAAAACACAAGTTTTTATCAGAAAAATATCTGCATTAGCCTGCATATTCCTATAATTCAATCTATGGACTCTAAGCTGCAAAATCATACTTACAGAATCAGCATTGCTCATATAAAATGTTCCCACTAATGTAAATTAGTTGCCAGAAGTCAACAGGATTACATCTTACAGTGTTTAACTTTTTAAAAAACTACTTTAGTATGGGGAAATTAACTGTATAATGATCTGTCTTTAATTCATGTTTACTTGGGTGAGTCAAGTTCCCTTATTATAACTATCAGCATTTGAAGTGTCATAAAAACACCACAATATTTTGTAAGAATTAAATTTTATCCAGGTATTTCTTCATCAGGAGATAAGTAAAACCTCAATTATTGTAAAATCCTTTTAAAATGCAGGTTTTTCCTCACACCCACTATAACATTAGAGAGAAAGCTTTGATTAGGTGAATTCCCAAAAGATATTACAAGAAAATTCAGATAAAATCTTACTGAAATTCTGCACCTTGTGCTCTACCTTTATAGTGTTTTGAGAACATGAACCCAATACTGAACTCTACTAATGTAAACCATACGGTATGCTCAGGCATTTGTGCAAATAGCTGTTGATATAATGCAAGCCCACACAGTACTGTCAAAGTGGGACAAAGATTAAAAGAAAAAAAAAAGATTATGCAAAACAAAATCTGAGGACACAAACTAGATTCTCTTGTTTTCTAAATACTTTTCAAATGACAGACTCAAGGAAATCACCGGATTAAACAAGTGCAGGAAGAAAGAGGAGATGTACTTAAGTCATTTCACTGCTTTCAAAACCTTCTAGGGGATAATTAGGAAACAGTTTTGTAGTTAATGGCTACTGGCATATGTAATTCTTTCCCCTCTTAGTTTAATAGAGTAAATATATCAGAAGCTTCCCAACACGACTGAGATAGTTTGGCTATTTCCATACCGTGTGACAAGTCATTTTAGAAAACATGTTATATTACATATTTTGCCTACTTATATCTTTCAACCAGAAGCCAAAAGGTACTACAGTAAGTAGTAACTAAGAACCTTAAATTCTGACTTACATTTTAAATGATATGCACTAATAACTTCGCATTTTGCCTCTGCTGAGAAAAATTACAAGCCAAGCTCCAAGTCATTTTAAAGAACTGTACTAAGTTTCAAATTCAGATTAAAAGAACTACTACCTTTTCAAGTGTACCTTTAACCTACAATTTGTAAAGTTCTCAATGAACAGCAACTTAATAATTCTTCATAATAACAATGGGAAAAGAAATATGTACGCTAACTGCCATCCCTATTATTGTACAATACTGAGAGCTATCAGGAGAGGTTGAGTTTAAGACTGTCTCCCTGTCAAAAAAGTTGTATTTTATGCACTTACGAAAGTAAGAGACCTTGCACCAACACAAAGTCACTAACAAATGCAGCTCATTACTTAATGCGCTGCCGCTGCAAGCTACTCGTGAAATCAAGCAGCTATAGATCTGCAGTAACTCCGAACAATCTCACGCTTTCACAAGCATCTAAATAAAAACTGAAACTACGCAGTAAGACAATACTCTACCATGCACACTACAGACTCCAACTAAAGTCGACAAACACTAATCAGCCTTAAATTGTTAAATTACTCTAACAGGCGGCACTAACATTCTACAGGTAAATTAATAAACTTCATATTGGACAAAACACAGCTGAAATATGCTTAACAGCACTTACTGCAGATGCAAACATTAAGGATATTTATACAAATTATCATTATCTCAATGATGTCCACGTTCCTTTGAGATTTACTGTGTTGAATCCTACTGTCTGCGTAATCACATTAGGCAATGAGGGCACAGATAAACAAAAATCATTCGTCATTTAACACTAAAGAATCCCACAGGACATTTTTTTTGTCAGGTATCTGAAACTGTATACTACCAAGTAACATGAAGAACTAAAGACCAGAAGTTATGTATGAGCAGCACGAGAATCATTCACATTAACAGATTATGTGTCGCCACTTAGAACCAAGGCAACATACAGCAAACAATACTGCATCACCACTCTATTTAAATGAGGTGACCTCAAGTAACCAGGTATAAACCAGATAAACTAAGTAACTGAAATAACGAAATGAGAGTTACACAAATTTACTTTCTTCTGCAATCTACTTACGCAGTTATTTATACTATGCTATGTTAGGAACTCTGTCACACCCAGAAACACGAATACCTAAGATACTAAGACTCCACAGAGATCGACTGCACATTCACACGTTTGAGAACTTCCTCATACTTAGATTTTTAACTGGGATTTCAAAATGATACATTGTACTATTAATTTTTTACCAGCTACCTCAATGAGCTTGCCCTTAATTCTAAAGTTGTCCAGCATCAATGATTTCCTGCAGTTTGTCAAACTTGTTCAAAAGATGAATGTAGTGCCTTAATGAAGATACTACAATAATCAGTTATACAGTCTATAATGCCAAAAACAGTCATCTCTCACTCACAGAATTTGATCAGTAGGACAAAACCAAAATTCATTGAGTTCGGAACTCTTGTTGTGTAAATCAAGATAGTATAGAGTTCACAGCTAATAGAAATTACTGAATATAGTGTCACAGGAGAAACTACAGTAGTAGTTTATCGTAAAACATCATAATAATCACACATGAATTCTAATAATGACACAAGTATTATCACCTCCTCCATTTCTGTGCAGACAGGTTCCACAGACACACTCCTTTCACTTTATATGTGCCAGCAAGCTATCCCAAATAGTTCACACCAAGTTCTATTCGTGTTTCTAGTGCCTTCCCTTACAGAGCTAAGGCAGCTCTCCTATTGCTGTTTCAGAGAAGCAGGCATATCCATGCACCTTGGAGAAGTGCATCACACAAGTATTCGAAGTTCAGATGTTCTTTTCAACTTCAGCCTCTGTATGATAAGATTCAGAGGTGTAGGATAAAACTTTCAAGCAGAAAATAATAATTAGCATTAGCAAACATACGGTATAAATCTTTCACCCAGAGATCATAAAGCTGTTTACAAGCATCCATTAAATAACCAAAACAAAACCATGCTGCAGACTAACAATAACAAAACCCAATTGATCTGCTGTTTATTTCCTGAGCAGCACTAACAATGAACCACTGCATGCAGTTCCATTTACTTTCATACATGGATTTCTTGTAAAGTAAATTTTACTTCAAGCAAAGTAGCAAATTTCTGTATTTTGTGAAGAGATAAGTTTTGACATGAATTCTCAACATTAAAAGCTTATCTATGTTTTTACCAAGCAGATTTTCACATGAAAATTTAACCGGTAGACAAACAAACTGTAAGTTAACAGATTCTACTAGATTTTCAATTTACACATGGCAAAATGAAGACATAAAAATCGAATGACTAGACATAAGGAAAGAATTCAAGTCAGTAGCACAGCTAGAAATTTAATCCAGCTAAAGTGATACCGGATACACTTTCATACTAATTTACAAGAAAACTGGCATTTACCAAATCAATACAATTGCTCCAAAATTCTAAACTCAGGACCTCAAGCTACTGGGCATCAATCTGGCAGATAAGTTTAACAAGAAAGCATTTTGTTTTCAATAAAGTTTGGTGGAGTGACTTTCATAACTACATTACATTTAATTCAAGATAACCTTTTTCTACACCACAATACAAGAACCACCACAGTAGTAGCAACATTTACTTATTTAGCAGTAAAACATCAGAAAAGATGACTCAGGTCACTTAACTGCCAGTAAGTTCAGTCTAAATACTTCAAATCAAGGTTAAGGATTTCTTTAGGCCAAATATTTAACTCCTCAAATGACTTAAACTTAGGCCTTGGAGGGCAACAAGAGAGAACAAAGCAACATTAATTTACAAGCTCCTCATAGTGGCAGCAAACCAATTACATTAAACATGTCTGAAAAACCAAATTTCACATTGAAATAGTAAAATCTTCCTGACTCTACTGACAAATGACTGAAGTCATAAAGGACTGACTTTTTTTTTTTATAATTATTGTCTTAAATCAGAGCTGCAAAAAATAAGCATTGTGAAGATAATTGAAGCAGCTGTGTCAACATCTCATTGCTCTTCAAGCTGCATTAGTCAAATTACTGGGAGGGGAGCAGGGCAATCAGCTGTAAAAAAATTAAAGGGCAAACTATAGAAGACTTTACTTTCAGTATTTATTCACAACAGGAAAACAAAGATCGTGGGTTTGATTTATAAAACCGAGTCTTCAAGCAGCTTGCATAGGTTCCACCTAAAGTTACCGATAACTTGCGATCTAAGCAAAATTCCCTCATTCCTCATTTTTACCTAATAATTCCAATAATAATTCTTCCTAAAATTTCTGTAAGACCAGTAAAAAAAGGACAAAACCAATGGCACTCACTTACTATTTCAAAGACTTGCATATCTATCGACAAAGAAACACCTCCTCTAATTTTCCAAAAGAGAAAGTGCTGTAAGTTGAAATAGTATCTAAAACTCTCCACTACAAAAGGACTCTCATTAAACATTACCTGTTTTGTCCCAAGGAGCACAGAGTCACAAACTGACATCTGTAAGTGGAACCCTGTACTTCCTAGTCTCCTGCTAATTTCAGTAGCAACTTGCAGAGTACATTATGTAAGATTTATCATATCTTTACTATAAAGTAGATACAATAAAATGTAGTAACTGCATCTGGATGCAAGAGATGGACCTATACCTGTCTGTGACCTTGAACACTTGTAACAAAACAGAAATCAATAATAAATCAACCCAGAATAACCGTATGCTGGTTTCGCACATTTTTCCTGCTTGTAAGAAAAGAATGAACTATCAACTCCTTCCTACAATCAACATGCTGGAGGAGTCTGGATGGTATTTTAATAGCCCTGAAGTCTACCTACGTGATCTGACATTAATTACAAATCCAACAACACCCTAGTTACTCTATCACTAGGTCAGACTATGAACTCCTGCTCAATATGCTTCAAAATTAGACAAGACACAATATAGAGGAGAGAACATGCTGACTTACCCACTGTAGTGTGTTTTTACTCTGATGAAGTCTTTGTTCAAATCAATTTTTGAGCCCATTCTGCTAGGCATGGTCTGTATTTAACAGTCTAAAAGAAATTATAAATATGTAGAAATAAGTTCATTCAAGACAGATAATCCATTTAATTCTGAAGTGAACAGCTTCACATGTGAAATGTGCATTTCTTCTCCAGATGATTTTCAATCCAGCTGCATAGAAAGAAAACCAGAATACGGATGAATATACACACACTCTACTAAACAAATAAGTTGTGTCAAATTTTATAAACACAAACAGCTTTAGATAGAACAGCAAGAAATCAAAAGGAAAATATACAAGACCATAGACCAGCAGAGAAATTAAGTGAGATCAGTTAAAAATACCCTGGACAGTTTAGTCTTATAGAAATAGCTCAAGCATTTAAGAATGCTTTTTAATAAAACATCCAACAGTTCCTTCTTGGCCAAAAATACTCCAATCTTTCCTTCTTCAGCAACACAGCTTCTGGCTCTTTTCTTCCAAGGAGTATTTTAATCCAAAATAGTTTTTATATACATGGAAGAATGGTATCAATTAATGTTGACTACAAATTTACCCAAGAAAAGCAGATGAGGAACTCCAAAGGCCACTTTAAGTTACCTTTACGACTGACAAACATCCTGTTTATTCAAAATCACCACCACCTTCCCTTACACGTAGATTTATATATATACTCAGACGGCTCCCGAACCCCACTGTCTGGGGAAGCAGGGCCACAGGCACCAGGGAGAGACTCCAGAATTCGGCCGCCTGACCCCTCCTCTCCG